CGCTGCCCAGATGTGCTCCCTCCTCGGGGCGGGAGGGACAGCGCCTGTCCCCGGGGCAGGAAAGGGAGGAATGCGCTGGGGGACGGCGGCTGCATGCGAGGTTCCCTGGCCCCTCCCCACCCCCAGCTCCCACCTCCCACACTCCCCATGGCTCCGGGTCCCCCCCCCAATCACCCCAAATCCCTGACCTTTGTCTCGCACATCCCCACAACCCATCCTTGTCCCCACAGCTCCCTGACCCCACTGCAGCCCACCAGCACCTCTGTTCCCCTTGTTTCCATCCCTCACAGCCCCCAGCTCCACCCCAGGCCCCCAACTCCCTCTGCTCCCCCCAGCAGCCCAGCCCTGTCCCCCAGGTCACGCTGACAGCCCGAACTGATCCCTGACCCCCCACCCTCGCTGCCACATCCGTGTGGTGATGGTGACATGGGGGGGAGACCACGGTAGGTGCTGCCTGCCCGAGGTGCCCCCCCCAGGGGTCCTGTGGGGCACAGCCCATGCCCAGGGCACCACCGGGGTCATTTGTGGGGCACCCCTTTCTGGTGAGCCCAGCAGGACACCCATCACCATCACATCGGGGTGCCAGGGGACACTGACATGAGGTTCCTGGAGAAGCTGGGTGGCCTCTGCACTCCCCCAGACCCGACCCCATCAGCACTGAGCACCCCAGCACCGTGTACCCCACTGCACACCCAGCCCAGGTGCAGCCCCTGCCCGCTGCCCTGGCATTCTGCCCCACTCCGGAGGTTTGGGGGTCACTGGCAGCACCGTGTGCCCCCAGGGTGCCAGCCCAGCCCAGCCCGGCCCTGCAGCCCCCCAGGCCTGGCGGCAGCACGAGGCCCCTCGGCGGGTGAAGAGGGCCTGGGTGATCCCGCCCATCAGTGTCTCGGAGAACCACAAGCGCATCCCCCACCTCCTGGTGCAGGTATTTGAGAGCCCCCCACCCTCCCTCCCGGCTCGCAGGGCGGGGACGCCTCGGGCAGGGGGATTGCACAGGGGACAGACCCCCAGCCTGGGATCCCCAGCCCCGATTTTCCTGGGGCAGATCAAGTCAGACAAGCAGCAGCCCGGAGGGGTCATCTACAGCATCAAAGGGCCGGGGGTGGATGAGGAGCCCCTGGGCATCTTCTCCATCGACAAGTTCAGCGGGAAGGTTTTCCTCAACGCCATGCTGGACCGGGAGGAGAACGATCGCTACCGGGTAAGGATGTTCCTGGTGCCCACAGTCCCCCGGGGTCCCCAGCCAGACCCCGACCCCCTCGCTCTGCACCCACAGCTGAGAGCCTTCGCACTGGACCTGGGCGGTGTCACCCTGGAGGACCCCACTGACCTGGAGATCATCGTGGTGGACCAGAACGACAACCGGCCGCTCTTCCGGCAGGACGTGTTCACCGGGCGTGTGCTGGAGGGGGCTGAGCCAGGTGGGACCAGCCCGGGGGGCTGGGCTGGGCTGGGGGGGACCGAGCCAGCCCTGTGCCGGCACCCACGGGCGCTCCTGCGGTCACAGGGACCTGTGTGATGACGGTGGATGCCACCGACGCCGACGACCCCGACACGGATAACGCGGCTCTGCGCTATTCCATCCTGGAGCAGGGCTCTGCCGGGATGTTCAGCATCAACGCCACCACCGGGGAGATCTGCACCGCACGGCCCGGCCTGGACCGGGAGGTAGCGGGATGGGCTCACCCCGGTGGGAATGGAGGGAACTCGGGGCAGCCACGGACACCCCACTTGGTGAAACCACAGCTCCGTCCATGGAGCAGGGTGGGTGGGCAGCAGCTGGGGGATCTCTGTGTTCCCTGGGGGCTGGAGGGGCTCAGCTCCGCCCCCCTCATTCCCCACAGACCATGGGGGTGTACAACCTGACGGTGCAGGCGGCCGACATGTCCGGGGACGGGCTGACCACCACGGCCATGGCCGTCATCTACCTGGAGGACATCAACGACAACCCTCCCGAGTTCACCAAGGAGGAGGTAGCGGCCGTGCCGGGGTCAGCGGGGCGGGAGCTGCCCCCCCCCCGCGGGGGAATGCAGCATCCCAGAGGGGCAGAGCCCACCCCACACCTCTCTCCCCCAGTTCTCCATGGAGGTGGAGGAGCAGGCGGCGGGTGTGGACGTGGGCAAGGTTTTTGTGCACGACAAGGACCTGGCGGGCTCGCCCAGCTGGTTGGCCAAATTCACCATCCTGGAGGGCGACCCCGAGGGCGCCTTCGCCATCCGGACCGACCCCCACACCAACGACGGCGTGCTCTCCGTGGTCAAGGTGGGCACGGGGCAGCCGGGGGGCACCGGGGGTCTCATGGCTCGGCTGACCCCTGGCCCCTCCCGCAGCCGCTGGACCACGAGGTGCGGGACCGCTTCGAGCTGACGGTGTCGGTGCAGAACGAGCGGCCGCTGGAGCCCTCGGTCCCCGCCAGCCCCCGGGCCCTGGCCACGGTGCGGGTGCGGGTGCGGGACGTCAACGAGGCTCCCGTGTTCCGCGAGAACCCGCGGCGGATCAGCGTCCTGGAGGGGACACCCCCGGGCACCCCCATCACCACCTACACCGCCAGCGACCCCGACACCCACCAGATCCAGACCCTCACGTGAGTCCCGCTCCCCTCCCGCCCCCCCCGGCACCCGGGCGGGGGTTGGGGGATGGCTCACGCACCCCTCGCCCACAGCTACGCGCTGCTCTACGACCCCGCGGATTGGCTGCAGCTGGAGCCGCACGCCGGCACCGTCCGCACCAAGCGGGAGCTGCTGCACCCGTCCGCCTTCCTGCAGGGCGGCTGGTACATCGCCCTGCTGCTCGCCCGAGACGATGGTGAGCGAGCAGCCGCCCCCGCTGCCCCCTGGCCCCCGCCGCCCCCGCTGACCCCTCTGCTCTGTCCCCAGCCGAGCCCCCGCTCTCGGCCACCGGCACCCTCTCCATCGAGATCCTGGAGGTGAACGACCACGCTCCGCAGCTGCAGCCGCAGGCCGGGGTGCTCTGCGGGCGGCCGGGACGCGGGGGGACACTGCTCCTGGGGGCCACCGACGATGACCGACCCCCCCATGGAGCCCCCTTCCACTTCCAGCTCAGCCCCCAGCACCCCCAGCTCTCCCGCAACTGGAGCCTCGCCCGCTTCAATGGTGAGGGTCAGCCGGGGAGGGGGGGATGCTGCATAGAGGGTCCCGCTCACCCCCTGCCCACCCCGCAGTGACCCACGCCGTGCTGGCCGTGCTGGCGGAGCTGCCCGAGGGGCCCTACTCGCTCCCGCTGCTGCTCCGGGACTCGGGGACCCCCCCGCGGGAGCAGCAGCAGCTGCTGAACGTCTCGGTGTGTCACTGCGGCCGGGACGGCACCTGCCTGGACGGGGTCCTGGCCGCGGCCACCGCCGGGGCTGGCATCACCCTCGGGGCTCTCATGATCATCCTGGGCAGCACCATCCTCCTCCTTGGTGAGTGAGACCCCCACCGTCCTTCCTCCACCCCTCCATCGCGCCCCCCGGCACCCCAGCCCTGTGCTGGTCCTGGTCCGAACCCCTCCAGCACATTCTGTCACCTTGACCCCCTCGCATCACCCCATCCTGGCCTCCCACCCAACCCAACCCATGACCCTCAACACCTCCCCCCTACCCAGCAACCCCTTCTGACCTCAATCGAGACCCCCGTAACCATTTCCTTCATTGCCCATTCCCACCCCAATCCCACCCCATTCCCACCCCAAACCCACCCGAACCCCTACCTCCACTCTTACCCCTCCTCCCAGCCCAACTGCATCCCACCCCAGCCATCACCCCGTGTCCCCCGTGCCTCCGCATGCCCACACCCATGTCCCCGCGTCCCCGTGTCCCCGTGTCCCCGCAGTGCTGGCGGGGCTGGGCGCTGCGCGGGTCCGCGGG